TTATTTGGGATTCAATAAAAAAATTGGAAATGAGATCCATCAGTCATTGCTTGCAGGCATCATTCTTTTGTCTGGATCAACATTTATTTTCTAAAGTGTGTTACTTCATAGCACTGTTGTGATTATCCCACTTTTCTATACAACAATAGCAATTCAATTTCAAAGCATATTTGTAAATACCATGGCCTTTCATATTTAAATGTATTTCCTTTCCAGTGTTGCATAGCAGGATCACATACACATCCTTTCTTTGGAGTAGACTCAGTATGTTATCAAGCTCTGATTTTCCTACCTAATCTTTATATGAATTGCATTGCAGAAATGATGGGAGTTAGAAAACTTTTGAAAGGTTTGAAGTGAGTTGTGTCTGCTCTCAGTTACGCCTGATGCGCCAAAGCCCCTCATTAAAGCCTACCCTCCAGAGGAGGCATTTCAGCCTGCGCTGGGGTAAATATCCCTCCTTATTTCCAGGAGAATGCAGGAGGTGCTGTGTACACCCACACGAGCCGTGGGTGCAGCCCAGTTTATGCTGCCTCCTCGCTCCAGCTCCTTGCTTGGTACATCACTAGTTCCTGGGAGAAATCTATCTGGGGGACATCAAGTAGGGCAGCCGTGTCCTGTCACATCCAGGGGTGGTGGCCTGGGTGCCTGGAGGACAGAAGAGGGTGCCAGAGGAAAGCTCTAGCAGGCTAGCTGAGAGAGGGCCAGTCGCAGAGCAGCGGTGAGCAGTTTACCCAGCCTCACTCAGCGCTGGGTGAGCACTGCAGGAAAGTAGGGGCGAGGGTCATTCAGCAAGACGTGGCTCAGGTCACAAGATTAGAAATAACAGGTTATGAGCAAAGCAGTGTAAACAACCCTCTTCCAACTTCACCAAGTGTCTCGGTTCCCACTGCTGAGCTGTTTTACCTGGGATCCCACCGACCTGTCCTGACTGGTGGGGGTGAGGCTTCACAATGGCTTTCTAGGTGCAGCCTCGAGCAGGAGGACATGCAAGAGGCTGGGGACTGATGATCCCCACCTGCACAGGACAGTGCCATGCTCAGCAGACCCTCTGAGCTCCTACGTGCCGTCTCTCTGTGTAGTGTGAACTGGATTACAGAGCCTCTGCAGTGACCTTGCTGTAGGCACCCCACTCTGCTCCAGGCACTGCTTTAATCCTGCAATTCACCTTCTGCTTCCTACAAAAAAACAAAGAATGAATGCGGTGCTTAAAAACTACCCCCGTGCTGCCTCTGCCTGCCCTGTGGTCGCCCTGACCTTGCTGTGGTCCACACAACCGCCAGCGGGACAAATGTGGTCAGGTGAGTTGTGCGCTGTGCACATGGCCATGCTGTCGGAATTACCCAGGGAGTTTCCCTGGGCACACGCTGGAACTCAGAGGCAAGCGGTGACAGTGCAGGGACATTGAGCTTGTGGGAACCACCTGGGACTCCCACTAGGAAGAGGAAAAGCACGTCATAACTCTGGCTGTTACCTGTCGCAGGGCTGCAATGATGTTAAAACAGTGATATCCTACCATCTCACCCATGAGCAGGGTCCCTGGTGCTTTCCATAGTCACTAGGGCCAATCTCTCTGCTGAACAGAATATGGGCCGGGGAAAAACTGCAAGGCACTGCCCAAGCCTCGGGTGTGGAGTTACACCTACAGCCTGTAAAATTAAGGACTGTGATTTATTGCCACCCTGCTTGGGAAAAGATTCCTTCCCTTTCAGCACAGCTATTCAGGCTGTGCCTCAGGGTAAAATTTGCCAGTGTTGCTTCAGGGTTTAGTGAAATACTTGAGCACAGGCTCCATTACCTTAAATTAAATCTCATGTTTATATATGCTGCTGGATCCAGACCTGATGTCCTGCCTTGTAATTCCTCAGCTCCCATAGATTTCTCTGAAAGGTAGGGACATGGAGCACCTGGGAAAATGCGTGTACCTCAAAGGCTTGGCCCCTGCAGATATAATATTTGGTTCAGCTTCATCCTCATCAGCTGTTTGACTCGGGAGATGGAGGGTAGTGCTTCTCAGTGATGAAAAACAAGTTGAAGTGAGGCAGAAAAAATCTGTGATAAATTAGTGTGGAAAGTGTTAATGGGGCCACATGTCCTGAGTTTATTGGATTAGGGAAGTCAAACTAATTTTAAAATTATGCCTAGAGAGTGGGAAACTAGATGTCATTAGCCATATATATCTGACACAACAGAAAAGTCTTAATGGCTGTCATTTCAGCACATTAGGAAAACACTGTCAAAGTTCTTGCTGACAAGATGCTTTCTCAGGGATTATTAATTATACTGCAGTATTAGCCAACCACAGTATGAGAGCATATTCTGCATGTTAACTAAAGTGCATCGACCATTTAGCTAATAAGTATGACTTGATATTTTACATTGTCTTAATGATTAGCGACTTAGTAAAACTGTAACGCTGAGAGATAAAAACAATGATTCAACAAGCTGTGTCTCAAGAACAAGTTTTAACTGGAACTTGCGTGTAGCAAGGACAGATAAAGTGTACCGTCCTAATTGCCAGTCTAATGTGACAAGACAAAAGTAAACATATCTGCAGATTGAACCAACTCCTATGACCTCTTCCTGCATCGCCATCTGCGGTAAAAGTGCACTTGTGACAGCTCAGCCCAGCGTATCGGCTTAATCCCTTCACCGCAGCCTTGGTGGAAGATGAGCTCTGCACATCCTGTCCCTGGCTGCAGCCTGCCCCACTGTAACCATTAACAGAATTGATTTGAAACATCCCAGGATGAACAAAGCATCATCTCCAGGGGAATATACAAATAAATTAAATGATAATAGTAAAATGCATGAAGGCATGTTGTCCAGTTGTGGCAGCAGACTGGGAAAAAAAAAAAATTATTGGCATGTGAAGTCTGCTAGTGCTGAGACTCCTGCTTCAAGCTACATGGTTTTGACTGTCGCTCAGCCAAAGCTTCACAGAGGTGTGGGATGAAATGAGGAGAGAAAGCCTGATTAACTGTACACATAGCTTTCAGCTGACAACCATTTTTACAGAGTTGTTTTACTTAAGCACCTCCAAACCCCCGGGTAGATCTTCCAGGAAGCTCAGGGCTATAGCTATGGGTAATGTCAGTGGTGCAGCTTTGTTAAACTAATGCCTGTGCTGCACTACAGAAATCAGATCAGGCTTTCTGTTATCATTCACCTGATAACACACAGAGAAACAAAGACTGGCTGCTCAGAGTGTTGCTAAATACGTGACCCCTCACTGCCGAGTTACTGACAGTGTCACTGACTGATGCCCTCAGGCATTAGGGGATGCAGCAGTCACTCCAGGAAAGCCTTTGGTGCAATCTTATGGTTTCAGTGCACTTACCGGGGACAGGCACTTGTCCCAGTGAACCTCAAGGCTGCAATTCCACTTGGAAGGGACCAAGATTGGCTTTAGGGTCTTAATACCAAGAGAGTAAAGTCTACAAAGGAAAGAAGGTCAGGCACATGGAAAGGAACTTGAACCTTCCCTAAAACCAAACCCACAGCAGCTGCCTGTGGTCCTCCTTGGCCCATCTGTTCTCATGCTTTTCATTGTGCTTGGTCCTCTGCTACGTTATGGTCACTGCTTCACTGGCAGTCGCAATGAGCTCGCAGTGACCGAGCAACGCTGGTGTTTCATCTCTAAATAAATAATGGGTTTCTATCCTGAGAAAGTTATTAGAAAGTAACCTGGTATCACAACAAGGAACATGGAAATCTTAAAAGTCAAGCAAACAGAGAGCAAGCTTTTACAATGATTCCAACATAGCCCTCAAAAAAAGGAAGAAAAAGCCTTGCAGTCTGATTTTGTCACATACGAGTATCTCATAAAGAAGCAAAATGAGCACAAATGAGGCTATAGAAACAACACAACCTCCTGCTTGCACACTATCTTGGCTGAAGCACCTCCAGCCAGCAAAACTCTAAGTGGTGCAAAGGGGGGGGTCAGATCAGCGGGGCACCTGCCAGTTAACACTGCAATACCCACTTCCCCCTTGGGTTATCTGTAATTATTACAGGATGGGCAGCCGGAGGCCTTGGCTGAAGCTGGAGCCTGTGGGTCTAATCATTGTATAAGAGGAAGGGAAGGCAGACACAGAGTGGGGAAAGAGGAGCAATGAGGGGAGGTGACCTGGTGATGGCTGCACCACGGGAGAGATGGCAGCAGACCTTGAGTGTCCTGACCTGGGGGCTGGGAATGCCCAGGCCTGTTGTGTGGTCACCAATGTGTTGTGTCTTGTGCTACAGCAGGGATAAAGGAGGGAGGAAAGGCTTCCTAGGAGGAAAGAGGAGGTAAATAGCCTCACTGAAACAAAAGGAAAAAAAAATGTGCATCAGTCCAGCCAGAGTTTTTAAGATTCTCCTAAAAAATGTTGTGACTCAAGAAATCCTTATGAGATTTGGCAGCATTTCCATAATGCATGGATAGCAAAGCAAGCGAGGTGAATCCCAGACCCCCCCCCAAGTAAGGGGGACTTTGCTCAGCTGTTTTCCTTAGCACCTTTGGCAATCAGTGCTGTGTGCTGGTGGCACAACTGCACTAGCAGTTGGTTTCTCAAGGCATCAGATCACTCAACGTAAGGAAGCAGCAAACATGGGACAAGAAGGTGAAAACATGAGGCTACAGCATCACCCGACCCCTCTTTCCTTCATTCCAGCTGAGTGATGACCCTGCTCAGTGTAACGCTTTGCCAGCTAGTAAGATCATCGTCCCACTGGGCTCTTCCAGTGCAGCGTAGAGACACACATATAACTTATTCCTCCCATCCTTTCCCCAGCTCTTCCTGCAGCCCGGTTGTACCGAGTATTTCAGACTAAAACACCAGGTTAGCACCTGTGGTTCGGAGGTTTGAACCGCAACAGCCAGAGTCACCCAATGGATGGGTCCTCCTGCTCTGCCAGCTGCAAGGTTTTTGTGAAATGAGACTTTTGCCCAACGTTCTTCCTGAGGCACCTGAAAGGTGTCCACGCTCAGTCCCTCCTTTCTGGGTGCGTGGTTATGTCTATGCCTCCGCGCTTCCTCGCAGGTCTTCCAGCTCAGTCATGGCTTTGGCTGGGAGTTTCTTGCGGCGGAACGCAGCTGCGATCTCCTCAAAGGACTTTCCTTTTGTCTCTGGTACTTTGAAGTACGCAAACAGAAAGAAGATGAGAAGCAGAGCCGCGAAGATCACAAACACGTATGATCCACACAGATCCTGCAGTGGGGGAAGTGAGAACAGGGGACACCACCATCAGCAGCGCAGGGATGGCTTCCCCATCCTACCCCAGCTGGCCGAGGTACCCAGTGGGGCTTGGGGACAGAGATCCAGGAGGAACATCCATATCCCCCTGGGCTGCTTTGGGAGCCCAGCAGTGGGGTTGTGCCAGTCATTTAATTGTACGGTTTTAGAGGGATTTCTTACCGCTATGTACTGGAAACACATTCCCACGATGAAGTTGGAGGCCCAGTTGCAGAAGCCGGCGACGGCGATGGCGGCAGGGCGTGGGCCTTGGCTGAACAGTTCGGCCACGATAAACCAGGGAATGGGCCCGGGCCCGACTTCAAAGAAGATGACGAAGAGGAAGATCGCGCCCATGCTGACATAGCTCATCCAGGCAAACTGGCTCTGCAAGAGGGTGCGCTCAGTGTTACAGTCCCAACACGACTCTCATTAATTATCACTAATTACTTTTATTAGGCTTCTTTTTCAGAAATTTCTTTCTATTCGGACAAGTGGGGACTGGACATGAATAATTAAAGCTCTAAACTCTTGTGCCAGGTGCTGGCTGGGCGTGTGGTGCTAGCGTTGCTGCTTGCAGAGGGATGTTGGAGCTCACAGCTGTCAGCTCAGCTGTACCTTTGAGCCCTTTCGTTGCCTGCAGCATGGCCAGGAAGAAGCAAAATAGTGTTGTCTTTAATAGCCAGGGTGTTCAGTAAAGGAGGCCACCTCTTATTTGTACATCTTGCACCACTGCTTTGGACTGACTGTGATGGGAGCTGGCTCCATCCTCTGCCTGTTCTGCCCCACATCTCACAGCTGACCCCTCACCTGTGTGTCAGAAGGAATAATTTGTCTCTTTTTTTAAAGACAAGATGCTACTCTAGTATCTGTGAACCAAGCTAGGGAGATGGAGGTTGAGGGTTTAGGGCACACAGTGTTTGCATGGGATTATGCTGTGGGAATAGTGCAGTTGCTGTGTAAGGAGCTGAGGTTGTCAGTGGGCTCAGGGAGGGGACAGGGGACACAAGTCCTTTCCAGCAGCATTGGGCTATCTCAGGGGCCAAAGAGCACAGCGTCCTCAGGCACTGCTGTAACCAGAGATGGCTCCAGGTATGGCTGCCTTGAACTAGCCCTCCTAAGGACAAATATTCTCTGAACTTTGAGATGAAAATGGAAAACATTAATTTTAAAGCGTGGTTTGTATTCTCTTGTTTGCAAACCAGGGAGAAAAAATGGAGAGAAATCCTTACCAGAAGCACAAGTCCAACTGTCATGGCCACAGCGCTTATTAACATGCCCATCACACCTGCCATGTACAGGGACCGCCTGCCCGCCTTCTCCACCAGAAACACCTGTAGAAACATGTGCAGCAGCTCAGTTTCCAGCACAGCTGCTCTCCAGATGTTCAGTCAGGTCCGCTAGCAAGGAGCAACTTGTTAACACTGCCACACCGCACTCCTGCTCTTTTAGCTCTCGTGGTACAGATTTATATGCTGGTTTCCAAGTGTCAGGAACGCTGCCCGTGGCTATCAGGGAGCCAGACTGAGCAGCCGCCCTGCCAAGGGCAAGGCAAAGCCACATATAATCAGAGCTCATGCATTTCCAAGCTCTTGGGACTTCCCATCTCTCCTGCACATGCATTGCTGATTACGAAATTTTTTTTCTCTTTTTTCTTTTTCAGGAAGAATAAACTTACTAGGTCTGCGTTAGTTTGGAAGCAGCCTTCAAAATATAGCATGATTCAAGTCCCATCACGGGCCTGTCCTAGGGCAGGGATAGCTGTGTAACAGCTGGAGTCAGGATTTTTTCTCCAATTTCCCCTAGACTCTTTTTGCTTCCCTGGTAGCCACAAGGCTTTGATTGTTCCTTCTCAGCTCCTCTTGGTGGACTCCAGTCATCTCACCCAACTTTTGACATCTAAGTCTGTATCAGTCACTTCACCAAATGGGTAGATGTAGGTAAGTCCAGAAGACAGTGCCTCTGGCCTGCCCTAAGACACTGCGCACTAGCCTCTGAGGCTGTCTGCTCCTTCCCCTCTCCTTGAAAGAACACCTTTGGCCATCAGCTCAGTCTTTCCTGCCACCACTGCAAGTGATCTATGCTTCCAAGAGACCATTGCTTTTGCTGGAGGCAGTTCATCCTGCTAACTCGTGAAGCTGCTGAGAGCGAGCTTCTGTGCTCCCTTCTCCCCTTGCCAAGGTCCACCCAGCTGTCAGTGCTTCTGCCTTTTGATCGGGGTCTGTCATTTATTTACAAATGCAGGTAATTTTTAAATGCTCATGGTCAAAAGAAGCAAAGAGCAAATGCTCCAGGCTACAAGTGGAGATTGAACGTCCCTGTACCTCATTTCACAATAAACGTCACGTTTTCTGCTCTGTATGGGACCTGTGATGGGACTGCCTCTAAAGCAGCTTCAGCCCAAGACCTCCTGCCTCCTGCACACTGGACTAAGATCTCTGCCTTTCAGCTAGTCCTGCTTCGTGGTGGGTGAAAGTCCTTTGCTCCCTAAGTCTCTCTAGAGATGTGAGAGAAGTGGGCTTGGCATTTCCTGATCTTCTATTAATTGCCACATTAAAAAAATAATTGCCTGCTGATAGGAATTGTGTTAATACTCTCAGGAGAGAGGCAAACAAAGGGAAAAGCTGTGAAAATGGAATCATCCTTTTATTGCTGCAGAGCACTGCATAGATACAATGAGGATAGGTGCTAGATTACTTTTATTACTTTTGATATCACTCGGGCAGGTGTTATGTACATACAGAAGACAATTGGAAAGACAACAAGTAAGATAGCTTCCCCATCGCAACCCCAGTCCCTGCCTGCTCCCCGAAGGGAACAGGACCCACAGAACTTCAGTCTCAAAGGCAACTTTTATTTTGAGGGGACATGCTGAGCTACCAGAGCTTCCCTGAACACGGTGATGTAGTTTTCCCTCATGAGGCATTTAGCAGTGCTGTTTAATGGTAATGGGCTGCATTTCAAAGCTTGATTTTTCAAAGGAGATTTGCCCAAGGAATGATTTTTCCTGTAAGGTGTGCAGGGTCAGCCCTGCAGAACTGCAAACCCCAGCCCCAGCTCCAGGATAAAATCTTAATTCAAAACCACATTGTAGCTTATGTGTTTTTGTAGTCTGGGGGGCAGAAATATTTACTTACGGAGATAACAGTGAAGACTGTGTTCACCACTCCAACGCCAATGGTTGCGTAAATGGGTTGGTCAACTCCAGCTCTCTCGAAAATGCTTGTTGAGTAGTAAAAGATCTATCAAAATACATTAGGGTGAAGGATTAGGTAACAGGGCTGGTGGAACTTTTTGTTCTCTTGAGGGAAGTGTTGCACTTGCTTGGCTGAGATGTGAAGTAACTTCATGATTAGTTTTTTAACTTTTTAATGGCTTGTTATAATAATTAAAGCTGAAACTTTCAAAGGAGCCTGAGGGATTTAAAAATCCCATTGAAATTCCCCTCCTGAGCTACTGCATTTGCACATTTAAAACTGTTTTCTTCCATCTAGTCCCATGTTTAATCTTGAAAGCCACATCACCAGGACTGGGCGCTGGAGACAAATATGTTAATAGGACCGAGTTTTAAATGCATTTAAAAGTAATCTCAGTACATCAGAATGACTCAAATTTCTCCCTTCTCTCAAAGAAAAAGGTGATGCCTATCTGCTGGAAGGGAAGGGCAGGAGCTGAATGGGTGGCTGAGCCCGTGGCTGAGGATGGGGCTGGGCATGGCCCCGAGCTGGGGTGGCTGGGCTCCGTAGGGCTGCTCAGCCCCGGGTTGGCCCTGCGAGGCTGGGAATCCTTGTGTGCTGCTCGCCTCGCTGTGTGGAAATGCTCTACAATTTTGAAAGATGGTGGGACAGAGGCCTTAACCTTTGTGAAGTTGCCACTTTCAAAAATTGGAGTCTTATCTGGTTTTGAAAAGGAGGCTTTATGCTCCTGGGTGTAAAATGGTGATTTCTGGTATCCCAGGAGGTGGTGTAGAAACTGCTTAGCTGGAAATAGCTAGAAGAGAATGATTCTGTGGTTCCTGGGGTGAGCACATGGTCATTAAAGAGAGCAAACTGCTGATGAACTCAGGCAGGTGGAGAGTCACGGGAGAGCTCAGTGTGGACCCTCCATGCCAGCTGGTTTCGTGCTGAACTCCCTCACACCCTCCTGCCCTCCTGCAGCCCAGTGTGGTGGTGACATCCACCTCCAGCACTGATGGCAGTGGCCAGGGAGCCTCCTGCAGTCACGGGAAAGCCTTCTCCTAACCACTGTATGGCTTGGATGGAGCCAGCATTGCCTTTTCACAGAATCACAGATGGTTTGGGTTGGAAGGGACCTTAAAGATTATCAAGTTTCAACCACCTGCCACAGGCAGGGACACCTCCCACTAGCCCAGGTTGCTCAAAGCCTCGTCCAGCCTGGCCTTGAACCCCTCCAGGGATGGGGCATCCACAGCTTCTCTGGGCAACCTGTGCCAATGCTTCACCCCCATCACATGAAAGAACTTCTAATATCCCATCTAAATCTCCCCTCTTTCAGCTTAAAACCCCTTGTCCTATCCCTGCACTCCCTGATAAAGAGTCCCTCCCCATCTCATGCTCAGCATAGGTTTCTCTAAAGACAAACATTTTTGGGAGCCTCACCGCATTGATTCCTGAGAACTGCTGAGACATGTGCACCATCAGCGCCACGATGACAGCCTGCCTGTACTTTGAAGAGGTGAAAAGTTGTCTGATGGAGACTTTCTTTTCACTAGCAGCTTCTTGCTTTTCCTTTTCCATCTCAGCAATCTCTTTCATTGGGTCACAGTTTCCTCTGAGCCTTTTCAAACCTTAAGAAAAAAAATGTGACATTTTATTTTCAATGGTAGATAAGGAGTAGAGTAAGGACAAGAATCTCTCTAGGCAAAACTTGGGGTAAGCCAGCCACATGGACAGTGCTCTGAGGACTCTCATGGCACATCAAGGATCAAAGATGTGTCTGCTTGGCAAGGGGCAGCAGCACATGAGTTCTGCAAAAGCTCTGAGATACCGTGCTCAAGCCTCATTCTTCCATAATGCTTATTAGTCCCATGCAAAAATGTTTCAGTAGTTTCTGGTCCATGTGGACATGCTCGGTTTTACTTGATCCTGGGTTCTCGCCTCCATTTCAGCTGTGTCCTACCCTTGCCTGCTCTTACTCCAGGCAGAGTCAGCTTGAACCAGCTATGGGGGCCCAGGCTGGAAGATGTGTAAGTGGTTGCAGTAACCGCTGTGGATTTGCTGTGTAGTTGCAAATAGCACCAGGGATAGAGAGATCAGCTGTCCCCTAGAAGATGTCATTTTTACACCTGGATGAAGTCTCTTCTCTCTGAATGGGGTTTTGGGGGGTGGCTTCTGCTAGATGTGATCTCTCTGATGGAAAGGAGTAACATGCCAAGGCTCATGCCACCCGCAGGGATATATAAGCAAGTGTGCCTTAGTCAGTGACTATATGCAAATGACCAAAATGTGCTGTGTGGGATGGAGTGACTATACCCAGTTACGTGTGTGAGTCCCCAGCCCGGCTTTTCCTTCTGTGTTTCATAGAATCACAGATGGTTTGGGTTGGAAAGGACCTTAAGGATCATCTAGTTCCACCCCCCTGCCATGGGCAGGGACACCTCCCACTAGCCCAGGTTCTCAAAGCCTCATCCAGCCTGGCCTTGGACACCTCCAGGGATGGGGCATCCACAGCTTCTCTGGGGAACCTGGGCCACTGCCTCACCACCCTCACAGGAAAAAACTTCCTCCTAATATCCCATCTAAATCTACGTATAGTATAAAAACAACCCCAGGCAAGGCCAGAATGTGTGTCTTACTTTTTTTAGCTTCTTCCACCTTCCCCAGTTTGATGTAAAGGTATCGTGGACTCTCAGGGCACAGTAAGAGCAGGAAGAACTGCAGGAGGGCAGCCACACCAGACAGACCCAGGAGCAGGGGCCACATCTCGTCGTTGCCCAGGAGAAAGTCTAGTCCGAGGACCTGGAATAATTGAGGCACATGTGAATGGCTTATTCTGCACCCTAGAAAAAGAAAACAATTGACCACTATGGCATTGCGAAGTGATGACCTGGAAGAAAACTAGAAGCAAATACCAACTCTCAGTCCTCTAATAGTTTGGTTTCTTTAGTTGTGATGCACATTTACAAGGAGGGAATGAACAGATGCTGTAAAATAAGCCAAAAGACTTTGGTTTATGGATGTTGTGGGACAAACCTCTGCAAGCCTGTTCCCCACCCTGGGGTGACTCAGTCCTTGTCCTGTCACTCCAACCCCTGATCAAGAGTACCTCCCCATCTCTCCTGTAGCCTCCATCCAGCACTGGAAGGTGCTCAAAGGTCTCCCTGGAGCCTTCTCTTCTCCAGGCTGAACAACCCCAACTCTCTCAGCCTGTCCTCATACAGGAGGTACTCCAGCCCTATGACCATCTTCGTGGCCTCCTCTGGACTCGCTCCAACAGGTCCATGATTGCCAGCCCGTTACATAGCTGGGACTCCTGCCATGGTGGGAAATACTGGACATGTTGGACTCCATGCTTCTTGATGAAGCCCTTTTTGAGTGCCTGAATATCACGGCTCTCATGTTCAGGATCCAGGCTGACTCTGATGAGATGCATACAAAATCTTCGCAGTGGAAAGAAGAAAATGTTTGCAGAAGTACTTTCTATTTCATGAGAAGTCATCTTTGTTAAGGGCAGCTCTGACTCAAAGTAGGAGTTTAACACCATTAGAGCAGATTGCTTCCCACTGTCCTTCAGTTTTGGGGTGCAATGCTGAATGATACCCCTAATCTTTGAAATACCCTCTCTGGACTCATGCACTTTCCTTCTTACCTGGCTGATGAGGATACCCGTGACGATAGCAAGCTGGTGCAATGTCCCCAGCGCTCCTCGAAGGGCCGTGGGAGAGACCTCGCTGACGTACATGGGCACGAGTCCAGAGGAGAGCCCTGCATCGAGCACATGTGAGCGTCACCTCTTCTAGACCACAGCTCAGCAATCAGCAGAAACTGCTTCCCAAACGGGAACGGAGGATGGAGCCCATGTGCTGCATCCCACGTCCCACCGAGTCCCTCCTGCGTGCCTGGGAACCACCTGCACACTGCAAAGGTGGTCGGATAGCCCTGGATTCCCAGCCCTGAGCCGAGAAGCTGTTACACTTGAACACCTATGTATGAACCTGGAGCAGAGATCAGCTGCTGGGAGAAGTTATCACAGAGCAAAGAGCTTTCTTAAAACTTGCCTTGAACCTTCAGAGTGGAGTATTGTATTTGTGTACCAGTATGTGATAATGAGCTGTTATTTCTATACAATTCTAACATAATTCCATCTTATTTGTCTCCTATCTTATCCTCTCTGTGTACGGTGCTCCTGTACTATCTGCTAGACGGTACTGTTGTCTAGGGAACCTGTTAAACAGCACAGCTAATCACATACTGTTATAGCAGCCACCGCCAAGATCGAGCCTTGAGATAGAGAGGAGAGACTCGCTCCTTTCCGGGATACGTAAAATAAACCAATTTCAACCCAAATACTCTGGGAAAGATCCTGGATTGAGAAGCACAGACATAGGGGGAGAGGGAGACTCCCACCCGTGAAACCCCTTCTGAACTAAACCAAAAAATAATTTTAAAATGGAAGAAGCTCTAACTGCAGCCCTGGAGCAGTGCAGCACCCAGCACCCAGCTGAGGGACAGCCGACCCAGCCTGGACTTACCGCAGTACAGCCCCGTGACTGCTCTCCCGGCAATGATAAGCAGGTGTGCTGGCCCGAATTTGGCCAGCCCCATGAGGAGGTTCCCAGCGATGGAGAGGACGTTGACCACCAGCATGGCTTTCACCCTGCAAGGCAGCAGCAGCACAGCTCGGTCAGGCACCGCTCCTGACCCAAGCAGCCATCACCACATACAGTCAGAGCAATTAAGTGACTTAATCAGCACGATGGGGGGAAAAAATAATGATCGTAGTATTGAAAAATATCGAACAGGGTTGCACTCAGGGTAGCTGAAAGTACGTCATATACCCTGTGCAAATGCTGTTCAGATGCCCTCCGCTCCCTTTTGCGTTTTGGAAGAAAAGAAGAATTCAGACATTAGTCAAGGCTGCTCATCAGGTGCTTGTCTGAAATGCTAAAAGTTGCAATAAAATGTCTGATTTATAATTGCACATTTTAAGAAGCCAGACCTCTGTGATGATTGGAACAGTATTTTGGAGGTTTGAGGGGTTTTTTTTAAATTAAATTGGGGAAAATAACCCAAACTGTATTTCTACAGGGAGGAAACAGTGCTGGGGAAAAAAAAATATTAAAAAAAAGGCTTGGGTTGTGGCACATGAGTCATGGCACAGGAGTTCCTCTCACCTCCCCAGCCGGTCGCCGATCCATCCCACGGTGAAGGAGGAGATCATGCCACCGACGGCGAACATGGAGACGGAGAGGGACCAGTACATGGTGAGGATGTGTGGGGATGAGGCAAGGTCCTCACTGGGGTCGGTCGGTGGCACGAACGTGCCCTCAGTGCCACCCCACAGCTCTGTGCCGGTCCTCACTGGGGTCGGTCGGTGGCACGAATGTGCCCTCAGTGCCACCCCAGGGCTCTGTGCTGGGGATGGGGATGGTGCCATCCTCCCCGGAGGCGTTGGTGGCATGTCTGTCCAGGGGGGCGATGCCTAGCACACGCCCGTAGTGGGCTTCTATCACCTGTGATGGGCAAAGAAGAAAAATGTAATTGTCTCAAGTCTATAGCCACCCCCAACCCCTGTTTTGTTTTGTTTTGTTTAGTTTTTTCTGTCTCAGGAAAAGCTTTTCATTACAGGCTCTGCAGGGGTGAAATCTTGGGGTCCCCCACAGCTCCCCAGCAGCTGGACCCCAGCGCGGAGGGACTGCGAGGGCAGGCGCAGAGCATCCCCCCACATCCAGTGCCGCCTCTGGGGACAGGGTGAGCGTGGTGTCTGGATTCAGCGCCTGCAGAGAGCTGCCGTCCCTCGGTCTGGTCACAGGGACCGCATTGCAGCGGGGAAAGCGCCATGATGTGCGGAGACCCCCTCCTTTTGCTGGGGGGGGGTTGGCAGCAGGGGGTCCTCACTGTTGTCTCCCCCCACTGCCTTATTGTGGGGGCTGTGTGCTGTGGGAGAGAGCACCTGGGGAAGTGACAGAGCCCTCCAGAGGGCTTCTGCAAGGGACAAACCAGCCCTGGCTGCCCTGAAGCCCTCATCCCTTGGCTGTGCATGGCTTGTGGGACACAGCTTACCTTCTGGGGGGCGTTAATTACACCCAGGCTGTAGCCATACTGGAAGAAGCCCAACACTGCAGTGAAGACGGAGAGGACCAGTGTTCCCGTGAGGTGCTGGAGGAAGGAGCAGAGAACAGCCTTACCCCACTGTCGTAGCCCTTCCCAAATGCGGGGGGGCTGCTCCCTATCCCTGTCCCAAGGGACGCTGCTCCCTGGCTAGCTGGGACCACAGCACCCAGGGGTGCCACTGCAGCAGCAGGGACGCTTTGATGGGCTCCAAAGGAGAAGGGAAAGCTGCTGGGGGTGGGCAGGATCAAGCCCCCAGTACAGAGCGGCGTTACCCTGCGAAGAGCAATCTGTGCCCAGGATGTCCCTGCTGCAGTGCCCATCCTCGCCCCCGTGCTCTGCCCAGTACAGCAGTGCAGGAGTAGCGGCGGCAGCGTGCCCTGCCCCGTCCCCAGCACAGGTACAGCACTGAAAAAAAAATGTTTTTCAGCAGGGCTGTTTCAAATATAATTTTAACTGTGATGGAAGAAAATAATCTGATGAGCTGATGGAGCTCTTAAAAATAAAAAGCCATCCCTTGACCCCTTTGCCCCTACGCTCGATATGCAGATATCAAAGAGCAGTTATTTAGGGGAGGGTATTTTCTTTTGTTGTGGGTTTTGGTCTTGGCAAGCAATAAATACCATTGCTCCATGCTGGGTTCCCACAGAAATTCTAGTGTAAGAATACAGCTGAGCCATAGTTACCTTCTCTGCTTGCATTTTGCTTTTCTTGTCCATCCTGCAGCTCACCCGCTGTCCTCTTGGGAACGGTCACTGTCCTGGGCTGCGGAGCAAGGGGAGAGCTTGAGCAGGGAAGGAGGGATGGAAGCAGCAAAACTGGCTGGTGCTCCGAGAGATGGGACTATATCACCTCTGGAGTTAATGAGAAACCCAAGCTCTCCATGCGTTATGTGGCCACTGCTTGGCTCACAGCAGCTGCTACCAATCCCTGTATTTCTGGAGACAAATGAGATGACGGGAGACCGACCCGCAAAGACATAGAGCAGACCTGGGAAAGTCAAGTGATGCAGCTGAAAGGTTGATTTGGGGCTGTCCCTCAGCTGAACAGTCCATGATGCGACGTGCCAGGGACTTGGGGACACGCTGCAGCCCATTTGAGATGTCCAACACCTTTCTTGGCGTCTCTGCTGGGTTTCTGTGCTACATTGCAAACCTCTTGCTGAACTAGCAAGAAGAAACCTTTCCAGCACATGTAGCAAAGAAGCTAGAAAATGACAGAGTGTTTTATTTAGGTAGCACTTGTTTAAAATATATTTATGTTTGTATATAACATATGCAGCCAAACATATATAAATACAGATGTATACAGGTTTCTGTATACACATAAACCTGCACACACACAGCCCTCTCAACACGCAGCTGTAATTCCAGCACACACCTGTACGTATGCGTCCTGAGCGTTCAGAGGAGACGGCTGCATGTGTTCATGGAGATATAACGCCACAAAATTACCCAGAATATTACTGTAATGTACGTTTTCGTTAAAAAGCCCACAGCGGCATGAATGCTGAGCCTTTGGGCACCCCCGCTGATTGCTGCTGCGCTGTCAGATACTGCTGATGCTGGCAAATACTGCTGATGCTGCCCTGTATCGCAGCCCTTTGGCTGGGCTCACTCGGTAGTCATGAACTTTGCACATCTGTAAGAGCTGGTCTGAGCTGGTCTCGCTCGTGTTTGGGCTTTGCTGTCCTTGACATCATCAGGGAGAGGAGCCGTGGGGCCAGGGCGGACAATGGCACGCGTGGCAGACATGCCAAAGGCTGAATCATCCGGGAAGGTGATTAATGCTGATTAATGCCATTACCTGATGGGTCTGGCAGCCAAGTTACGGCAACTCATTGGATGATGCTCTCCGTCAGCAAGGCTTCACATGGGCACAACGTGTACTTTCTACAGAGAAAGAGACAAAAAAAAAAAAAAAAAAAAAAAAAATATTAGAAGAAAAGAAAAAAAAAAAAAAAAAAAAAAAAAAAAAAAAAAAAAAAGACTGTAAGACCACTAATCTTTGCACTGGTCTCTTCCAGTAAAGTAAAACTTTAACTGGAGGAGAAAAGTTCACTGCATTGATTCACTGCAGGCATCGATTCCAGCCACAGCACCTGCATTCCCCACTCGGGCTGGCGTAGCTGCAAGGGGGAGGGTCCCGAGGCTGGGCTTTTTGAAGTTTTCCTCCAATATTTGTCCTTCCAGCTGAGATCTTTGCCCATGGCGTCTGTTTGCTTGCCGTGTGTGGATACCCAGGCATTTACAAGCACCGTGTCTTTGCATTGCGGTGAAACGCCTCCACGCCAGGGGCTGGCAGGATTAGACAATTAACAGGCTGCTCAAGTTTAAATTGGAAGACAAATGAGACCCCTGATCCAACATCCCAAACCGAAACCCTGGGGCACTGTGAAACTCCTGACCAGGACCGACCCCCCCTCCCACATCCCCTGCAGGATCCCCATCCTGTCTCTGGTGCCTGACGGAGGGAGGATGATGCTTTGCCCCCCAACTCTTCTGAGCCCACTGGAGGTGGTTTGAGGGTGCAAAGGCTGTCTGCGTACCGAAAGGGGAGAGCTGGGTGGATTTTCCATGGTTTTCTGGCCTCCCGGGAGGGGTACGGAGTGGCGGGGCAGTGCAGGCAGGCATGGGTGGGCATCGCTCACCTCCCAGGGAGCGGCTGCCAACTGCCACAGAAACTTATGGATGCCAAAAGCTGCAGAAACCCTATGGTCACCAGCCTCCCTCATCCAGGTGTGCTGGCAAAAGGCACGAAATTATCCTGGGGCTCTCCCATCCCTTCCTGGCCCCTCTAACGCTCCCTGCCAGGCTGGATGCAGTGAGACAGCACCTGGGGCTGCTTCACGTCTGGCTGGGCTGTGATACACTCCTCCAGAGCCTTGCAAGCACATATTTAGCTCTCAGTGACACTGACAGATTCAACCCCTGCGTTTCTCTGAATGGGAGGTCTGGATGTGGATGTGCTGGAGCCAGCTCGAGGCTGGCCCCAAGGCTGATGGGTGGGAAAGGTTGGTGTGTAAATCTGCTCTTGCTGCAATCACTTCCCAAAGGGGCTGTTGGAGCATCACACCTTGGCTGTTAGCTTGGGAAACTGAGGCACAACATTTCTAGAGCATCAGGCCCAACTCCACCAGGATGATCGATCAGCCCGTTTCATCTCTGGCAGGTTTGGTGGCTGGTGTGGGACTGCAGACTGTGGGGTGCAGATACCAACCCAGCCCGTGGCTGGTGAGCCTCGTCAGGCTTGGGATTTGCCCAAGGTTAAGGGATTTGACCAAGGGCACAGAGATCAAAAGGACAAAGGGGAGATGGCAGCTGGCCTGTGGGCAGCTCCCCTGCAAGGCCAGCCCTGCCATCCTCATCCTCACTGCTGGGACCCCAGCCTGGAGTTTGTTTGTACTTTTTCTTGTCTGTGTTCAGATGATCTTTGCATGTGCCTGTGGGTGACAAGCGCATGTGTGCGTCATGCAGCGGCATGGGGCTCAGGGTGATGCCAGCTGGGCAGCTCAGCTTGTCATCTGGTTCCTACTGATGCTGGAAAAAATGGTACACAAAACTGCAGGGGTCCTCAGAGTAATTAAAAAAAAAAAAAATGAGATGGATGTTTGAAGGTGATGAGAGCGGTCAATAGGCTCAGACACTGCCTTGTGCAGAGACTGTCCCCTCGTACACGGGGCTTTCCTTGCCAGGGCAAACAGAGCAGCTCAGCCACATGGATTCATCCCCCAGTCATCCCAGGAACACGGTGTGATGCAGAGGTGGAACATGCAGATGCCACACGTGGGTTTCCACGTGTGTGGCCAAGGGCTGCCGTGGGTCCAGGTGACCCAGCCCAAGAGCATCGCTCCCATTCCCGGGTAAGTGCTGTACAAACACCGATGTCACTGTTTGCAGGACAGCGGCACACGCTGCACCACCCCCTCCCGTTAGTACTCTGGCCAGTGCCGAAGGGTGTTGTGGCTTTGCCCCTAGGCTCCCAATGAGAAGCAGCTCCAAACCGATATTGTGTCTCCTCATTGCTGAGTGTGCAAGGCAGGTAAATGCCAGGAATCCTGAACAGCATAAGCCCCTGAACCCTGGCTGACTGCACCTTGGAGCAGGAATCTTAACATTTCATTATGGGCATCATTTACGTTATTTGCAAACAACAGTGCTTGCGTTATTGCTAATGCTTTATTTTAATAATAAAGTGTAAGAACTATATAGAATACTACTGTTATGCAGAATTGCCACGCTTATTGCCTACTATAAGCTGTGTCTACTATGGTGTTGCTGCTAAATCTAATGCTGAGTGATAAAAGCGATGGGTTAATGTTTATGGTCAGGCTTTGCTTTTGAACAACTGAACATGTCACATCAGTGAAAGGAATTTAAAGACTCCATAAGGACAGGGAGGCTTTCTCTGCAGCCCGGGTAATTTGCACACTGGTTTTACTGCCCTTGGGTCATCCAGAGGCAGCTTTGAGGTTAAGGGAAACAAAGAAAACATAAATTGAAACAAAAAGGAAAGAAAAGGAAGATCCAGACCATAAGGCTGTGGGTCTTCAGGTAAGAGCAGGCTGATGAGACACATCAGAGGCTGGCACAAGAAGAACATGATAAAAGTTCACTTTTTCTCTCTATCTGCACAGCAGCCGGGGTAGGCAGCAGTGCTGGGGCCACCCGTGGGACAGGGGCTTCAGGCTGACAAAACACATTTGAGAGGGAGAATTTGGTGCATTTACAGCACAGTTGTAAAGATATGGGTGTGTTGACCTTGTACCCTTCCAGAAAAAACAATGGCATTAAACCAGGGGAGTCTAACGGGGATGTTCCCCCCTGCCAGCTCTGGGCAGTGCAGCATGTCCCAGAAAAGAAAAATTGGGAAGGAAACCCTGCAAACCTCTTCTGCAGGGAGTTGGGAAGTGACAGCTCTGTGGCGGCACGCAGGGCAGTACAGATGCCGGAGGGGCGTGGTGGTTGCGACAGGCATCCCACACCTTGAACCGCGTCCTTATTGCTGAGAACATCTCTGCTGATCTCCCTAGAGGGGTCGTGCCCAAGGTAGTGGCTTATCATCCCAGGCATGGGCACAGTAGGGTATGGAGGTCCATCCCACACCTTCAGAAACAGCAGAAACAGGTGGATTCATTCCCCACTGCTGCTCACTCACAGCCTATATGGTGCTTACGTTGGCCCCAGTTACATAGTGCCAACATGCAACTTGTTGCATGATCAGGAATGGACTCGGGTTGAGATAAAGAAACGCAACACAACAGCTTCAACCATTTCCAGCCCAGCTCTGGGGCTGGGGTCACCTCAAACATCCTCCTTCTGTCCCAAAATACATAATATGATCAACTCCCAAAGCATCTCACAACGAGAAATATGCCATTTGATAACCATTCTACAGCAGGTTTGAAAACACATTCAGTTCCCATGAGTAGCTGCTACAGCCTTACCTTGGAGCATCCTTTGCCTTGGGAATGGTACACAGCATCTCCCAGTGTCCGCAGCACGCTGGGGGTAACTGGCAGCCAAGTGCGGCCTCATGCCAGCTCTGGGGCTCTTCTTTCATTTACCACAGAGGATACGACTTGTCCCTGAAGTTGATGCAGTATTTCACAGCAGCTCTGTAAATACCTGAATCTGCAACGGGCTCAAGTGACTCCTGCATGCACAGACATTATTTCTCTTTTTCCCCTGCTGCACTGCCCATCTGAACAAATAAAATTTCCTTTCCCAGGTAAAAGCTCACAGAAACAGGGTTTTAAAAGGAGCCCCAGGTTTTATTTCTTTAAACATTAAAATTAAGCAGTTCCTGATAGGATTGATCAGCCACAAGCGTGTTTTACTTACACCAAAAGACAAGCAAATCAAAGCTGGGAATATTTGGAGGGGAAGCATGTCTGTATAATAATCGTGCGTTGATTTTGTAGAAGAGCAGAAGTTTTTAGGTGGTGATGGTCCATGGAGACATCCCTCGGCCACTCCTTGATGCTGGGCAGCATCGCAGGGGACATGACCCGTCCCCCTGACTGATCCTGCCCCAAAATGCCGCTTTCCTGAGACCATCCAGGCAAAGGGCATCACAGCTCGGGGCCCTGAAAAGCCGCTTTACCTCTGTGACCTGCTGATGGTTAACACCCCAGCAGGTGTTTTATTTACGAGGTTTTATTTACAAAAATATAAAAGGCATGGTGTAATGTTGAAGTTTTGTGTTTTAATGGCACCAGAAATGCGTTTGCTCTGTGGTATGTCCATGTACACACTCTGTAGAGAAGCCTGCATTAATATTGGTTTCTCATGATTCTTCAAATGACTCTTAAGATTTTTAAAAATACATTCACAAACTACCTTAGCTTTAAACATGATTCCCTTCCCTGTTGTCACTGTACCCAACAACCCACAATAAAAGAAGAATAAATCATCCAACGCTGTGCATTTGCCATTTCAAGGGGGACAAAAAAAACCCAAACCAGTTTTCAGTTTGCAACATAATAAAAAGATCTGGGCTTTATTTTATTTATATTTTATCCACAGTGAAAATATAAAGAGCGGGTGGCAATCTGCATCTGTGGTGGGACTGAAATGGGGTTTTAATTCCAGTGTTGTGGTGTTGGGGCTGTCCCTGCACTTTGCAGGGTGCTCAGCCAGGTGCTGGGCAGGCTGCACAGGTGCCCGGCAGGTGAAGGCAGCACCCACAAAGCCCCTTTTGCCTGTGCTCCTCCAGATGCTGCATCCCACCCGGAGTCCTGGCGCAGGCAATCCCTCCAGTACCGCACTGCGACACCCTGCCCGCACGGGTACCGCTGCCGCACACCCTGCCCGTGGGATGCTGTGGGCATGGGTGACCCATCCCCTCCTGTCCCGACCACCCTCCATCACCTCTTGCCTTGGATAAAGATTCAAGTTGGACCAAGTCCTGTTGATTTAATCATTTTTTAATAAAGCCATCGTTACTGAGTACACCAAGATTGCCAGTTAAGCTCTCTATATGTCGCTGGAGGTAACAGCGCTGTGATCGACAGCGGAACAGAAAAAAAACCCCAAAAAACCCAAATAAAAAAACCAAAAAACCAAAACCAAAACCCAAACAAACCCCAACCAAAACGAGGTAGGTTAAAACCAGCAACACAGACCTTGTTATGCGACACCCCAACACCACAGGCGGCCATGCTTGCAGCTACTGAGAAAGAAAACCCCAGATACGCACCGAGAACGGAAATCAACTGAGCAGAGTTTATAAGGACACGATTCAACCCCAACTAAACACACACACACGGTTCGGCACAGATGTTGTCTTTCACTGTATGTTGGGTAATTCCTAGGGAGCAGAGGGTGGAAAACGAGTAGAGATTCAGACCCTCAGCCAAAGAAACCACACACACATATATATATATTTTTTAAGCTCTTTACAAGCCCAATCCTGCAACGCGGGGGACAGGCAGCTTGTTTCGTCGTCCCCGTCGCCACGCCGGCTGCCTCTGCACGCCAGCGCCCGGCTCTGGGCTCAGAGAGCACGAGCACCCGCAGCTCACTCCGGCTTTGGCATCAGGGTCCAGCGCCCACGGCATCCTGGGAGCCGTCTGCGGCCGCAAATCCCGCCTCAGGGGCGAGCACTGGGCTCCTCCGACCGCTCCGCTGCCCTCTCCTCCTCCGATCCCCCGTCCCGGCACCCGCGGCAATGCCCCGGGGCAGGCGGGCACCTCCGGAGCAACAACAAATGGCACCTCTGTCCCTATTCAAGACACACCATTATGTGAAGATCCATATAGAAATATGGATTGACAGACTTGACAAAAATGGTAGCTGATTTTTATTAGTCTAAGGCTAGTAGTTTAGCCATTTAAAATCCATTTCCCAAAAGAGGGGAAAAAAACCTATTATTTTTTCTCTTCTTTAAAAATCCGTTAAGCTGTTGCTGCCAAAAGCAACATGTAAATGTTGGTGAAGGCAAAAGATTTCTAAAATTACCCAGCTATACGGTTATGGCCTTCATCACAAAGATAAAAGGTACATTTATTGTGCTGTCTCTCACCAGATTTAATTGGTAACTTTACAACATACTATATATTTGATGCTAGCAGGCAGACAGAATTAAAAACAGACTTTTTGACACTGTTTCTTTCCCCGTTTTACAAAGTAGGGGACAAAGAAAAAGTAAAATTAAAAAAAAAAAAAAAAAGGAAAACTCATAACCCACTATAACACAGCGTAATCAGGAGACCTTGGGGGGTCCAAGCGCGAAAGTCCATCCCTGCAGCCCCCGCCCCGGGGCTGACAGTGCCGAGGGAGTGTGGGGAGCGGCGTTCCTCAGGGCCCTCCGCATCTGCCTCTACAGTGTTAGTCCACGTGTTTAATGTCCTTTAAATTAGAAATAATGCCATGGCGGTGAGTGCCAAGTGCTCCTCTGTTACCAGTTCATCATGGAGTTTCTGTTGAGGGTCATGAAAAACACTTGGCTGCTTCCTCCGGATCTCACCGATGCAAAAAATACCTGTTCGGAAGCAAAAAAATCTTATTAATAATTTTTATTATTGTAAGAAAAAGTCTGTTAATTGTCTCGGTGAGCGAGGAAAGCAGGAGCTGCCTCACGCCGATCAAATCGAAGCACTTACTAGTTAAACTCGGTAATAAAACCTCCCTCGCTATCACCTCCAAAGAAAGTTTGGAACGCCTTGAAAATACCAGTTTTATCACATTTTACTGCCATGGCACCATTTACGATGCAATATTAAGATGACTGCTGTCAGTGGTTTGGATTTTGCTAAACGTTAACCATCTGGGTCAATACCTGCCTCGGTTTGAAACTGTTTTCTTCGGAAAAGTTATTCCTGGTATTTCAGCCATTTCTGAAAGGAAAGCTCCAGAAAATGACTTTCCTTCAATATGCTCAAAGCACAGAAACATTATCAAGGCTCTCTATGAAGAATGCACCTTTTGGTGCTTCTGTCAGGATCCAGCAGCATTAGATGCCAATATAAGTCTTAAAAAATAAGTTATAATTTGCAAATCTCTGAGGGGACATTCTGAAGCCTTTGTCCTTTTCAAAACCAAAAATTGTTCAATCTTCACATGACTTTAATCGTTAACCATTTCTCCAGAAAGAGAAAACTCTATATTTAGTATTTCAAACCTACCAGTAATGAGTTGATTCCAATATTTTAGAAAGATTAAGGTAGGTTTTTTTTCCAGTTTTCTTAGAAAAGCAAAAAACCCCCATCAAAAGGAGCAAACCAGAAAAATAACCATCTAAAAGAGACAGTATAAACCCTGCAGAGTCAAGTACTGAAAAGGAAAAAAGCAAATTAGGAGTTTTGGGCATCTTAAATTCAGCTTCTTGGGCAGCTTCCCATGGTACATGCAGTTCCAAGGTTAGGCTAGGTTCCTCCTGCAGAGCTCCAGCCTAACTCCATGCAACAGGCAGGGCAACGCTTGACTAACGAGCAGCTGTTCAAGAAATGGATCATGGCCTCAAACCTTCTTTACTGCATGTTGTTAACCCTGCTCTGGGGACAGAGCAATCAGCTTCTTCACGTGTATCATGATCGTGCTCATTATGAAATAACACCCTGCTGTACAGTCCTTATTTATCTTTGTGAAACTTTGTCAAATGAGGAAATACCAACAGCAGAAACAGACCTCAGCATTCAACCATCGCTTCCATGCAAATATCCCTTTTCCTCCAGCAATTTCTCCTTCCCTCACTCCCTGCACCCTTTACCCATCAGCAACACCCGTGGCAGGGGTCATGTCCACGACAGCCGCATTCCCCAGGAAGCTCCGGTGACCCTCCAGAGCAGTATTTATCAGTGCTGGCCACTGAAAAAGATGGGGCTCCATGGAGGAAATAGTTTAAGATGCATCTAAAAATACATCAAAACATTTCTGCACCAGAGCTCAAATCAGGGTCCCTTACACATCCTTACTGCTACCGTTTCTCAGCTTTTGCAGTTTCCTTGTCAGCCTCAACAGTTCACATTCAGATCCAAGACCTGGGAGAAAGTCAAGTCAAGCAAACGCAGATTCAGCTGGAGGTGGAAGAGATCTTCCAGATCTTCCCACCACAGGCTGAGGTCTGCATCCACCGGAGAGAATTAATTGGGAGTGGGTTTATGGGCATTTGGGTTTATGCTTATTAAACAGGATCTTCAGATTAATTATTAACCTCAAGATAAGTCTGATTTAAAAGTCTAAAAGTAGCTGGTAGCTTAAAGCACGGATACAAGCTTTGACTTACCTTATCATTTCTTTCACATAGAAACTTTAACCTTTGAGCGCGCTTGTGCATAAATACTCCATCCAAATGTCCCGTCTCCACTGACCGGATTTCAATCGCTTTCTCTCCCCAGCCCATTATTTGATTGGAATGAATGTAGGCTGTCAGAAGGAAGCATTTGGTAGGTGTTACAACCTGTGTCAAGCTACATATTATGCAATGGACACAAAAACTCTCATCAGCTGATTCGAAGCCTGTGTAGATCAACAGCAGAGCTGACTGCCGGAGGCACAGGCGGCCAGGTATGTATGTGCAGGGATAATAGCCTTTACAGAGCACTTTTCATCCAGAAATCGCTCAGTAATTTGAGCAGAGGAAATATCACTTGTTCCAGTTTCTGTGGGTGAGGAGCTGAGCAACAGCAGAGCCAGAAGAGCAACCCCAGTGCTCCCAGCTCTATGTTCAGTCCCTCTTCCCTTCAACACAGTACCCCACCAGTGCATCAGCTTATACTATCTTATACTTAGGATAAACCAGAGCTGAAATCTTCAAGAAGTCACTTGCTTTTATTATGGAGGACCAAACTGCAGAAATTTAGCAAATGCATCTCTTATCTGGCTGCAGGAAATTTCCTTTGATAAACAAAAGCCCACATGACTCCATCTCATTATTCTCGACTCTTCATCTCACTTGTCATTTCTATTTCAAGCAGGTGAAGAGGAAAGGTTCACCTACCCACAGAAGTCGGCATTTCTCCCCACTGCAGCACCACATCTTTAGTTATCCGTCCATAGGTATTCACATATACACCTTCGTCCTCATAGCACACAAGCATCTCCATCCCGTCTGTTTTAGGCAGGATGACAATGGCGTGAGGAGTAATATTGCCCTGAATCTGCAGTTAAAATAAACCCTAAAAGTCAGAATTACATTGAATGGAGGAAGTGGGAGGGGGAAGGGATCAGAGCCTTAGAAAAACAAAACCCCAAACCAACCTGAGAACAAAGCCCTCCCTCCATTCACCAAACAGCCATTGGCTTTCAGAGATAAGCTTGAAGGGGAGTAAACTGTCATGTTTACCCTGCCATCAAAGCTGTCTGATACCTCAAGGATAAACAGGTTCAGCAATTATAGCGAGATCACAACATATATGACCCCAAGACTGTGGCTGACACTTGGCTGTAACACAAATAAGCGACTGTTGACTTGATGAATCCATCTCCTATTCAAAACAAGGCAAATAAACCCAAAATTTTACAGCTAGCCCTAGGGAGGAAATATTCCCATTTTTTAGCAATCGGTCTCTAGCTCCAAGGGCAGCTACACTGACCTTCCACCCATGTCTGCCCTTCCATAGCTAAGACAACACAAAACTGTCCTGAGCTGCCCCAATATTTCTCCTTGTGCTTCTTGCCAGTTCCTGCAGAGGAGGCTCTGCTGCTCAGGTCAGATTCAGCAGTTCCTGGACTTGATCAGTGACACTGTTTCTCCCAGACCAGTTTCTCATGCTGCTTGGACAGAGCTTAAATGAGCCAACGAGAAAATCTCCATCTACAGTATTTTTTTGCAGCATGAGTTCTCTCTTGAAATAGCTGATGGACCTGAGAGAGGTCCCGTGGTGAGTCCCTGCTGTCAGGGGTTTGGGAGTTTTGAGCAGCAGGCTGACTGAGACTTGGGCTACCCCAATCCGCAACCCTCGCCTGGTGCAGGAACATGTGGTGGTGAGCACATCTGGGACACCATGCAATGGGACAGTGTGCTGGGCATCCAGCTCTTGGTGGGTCTGAGCTGTCCAACAACCAACAGAGCCTGGTTTCATGGTATCTTGCCTTACAGAGAGCTCTGTTACTGCTCCATGCAGTGAACAGACAGGTTCTCTTCTGTGGGACGTGGCAACCTTAAACCTGACTGGGCACAAGGACAGAAACAGCCTGTGCTAATATAGGGTATGAAGTATGTGATAGCTCCGAGTCCTCTTTAAGCAAGTATCAATGAGGATGGCACTAGAGAATGTCATACCCATGGCAAGATGTCACTTGACTGGTCACCATTTCTGAGCCACCAAGAGCCTGTCCAAACCTTGCTGGTGCCCTGCCTTAGTCATGCAGCAGCGCTCCCCCAAGTACTCACATGGGATGGTATATAGATATCGTAAGAGTTCCCAGAATCTACATCAATCACATGGAAACCAGTGTGCGATCCAAAGATAACCTTGAGTCTCTGACCCTCTTCTACAGTGAGATCCACGAGCAACGGCTTGTGCTGGAGATCTGCAAAAGACTTTTATAATCCCCGCAGTGAGTATCACAGAAAACCAACAAATGCCCACAGCAGCAACCTGATATGATTTTGAAATCAAATTTGTTTGACTGTGTTTCCTATTAAATACGTGGTTAAATATGCCTGCGTACAGCCAGCACAGGGGGACCCGATGCCAGTGCTGCTCAGGGTAACAAAAGCAAAGTGTGCAGAGAGCTGTGACCACCCATTTCCCCCCCAGCAGGGATCCCTGCCCTGGTTTGGGCAGCTGAAATGTGTCAGATTAGCAAAGACCTGCTTTTCCCTTCTTGAAGCTAAACCTGCTGGATGCAGGCTGGGACCAGCTCCCTGGCAGGGACCGATGCAGGCCAGAGCATCTCTCCATGGCTCAAGTCCTCAGCAGGAGGGAGAAACACCCCCAGGGAGAGCAAAGGGCTCCTGGCTCTCTGTTCAAGGACTGCTCTGACTCCTGACAGCAAAAATCTGTGGGTGGTATTTCCCACTCTCCCAACAGATCCCTGCCTACAGGGCAAGAAAAGGGTGCTCACCCCCCCCGACTGGAGAAGCAGCACCAGGAGCACTAACCAGCGTCCTCACCAGAGCCCGCAGAGGTTGGATCCCAGGGTATTTTAATGCTGCTGAGCTCTCCATGTCACCGAGCCCATTTATTCTGGCTTTTGTTCAGAAAAAGCGAATGTGACCTAATACTGAATAAGCCCATTTGTGCTGGAAGGATGCAAAATGAGATTACTCAGCAAGAACGTCTCCAGAAGGCATTGCCCCTTGTGACTTGTCTCTGCACAGAGCTTAGGATGAAAAGTGCTTTAAAGGACTAAGTACAAAATACCCTTTGGCAGGTTATAGAGGAGAAAGGTCTCACTGAAGGAAGCTCAGGTAGATGAAAAGGGAGACGAAAAGAGAAAAGGAATGGGTCATTCTCCTCCTCCACACTGCAAAGGGGGAGAGGACCTTGCAAAATAAAAATGGAAAATAATGCCAACCAGTTTTCATACTATATGTGAAAAACTAGTCAGAGGTTAAAAAAATAATCAGCACAAAAACCCCTCACCAAAAAACCCAACTCAATTTTACTCAAGGACATTTGGCCAGCTTTCTGCAAACTTCCCAAGTAAAGTCTGGCAGCATAAGCTAATATTAACACTTATTTATTAAGTAAGAATGTATCCCGTCTCCCATGCCTGCCAGGCATTCCAAGGAGCTCAGCTAAGTAAGCAAGACTTTCTGCTCCATGTACAGAATCTTGTGTATTTACAATTACAGAGTGTATTTTGGTTAGAAGATAAACATACCTTAAATGCCATAAACTTGTGATACGGTTTAGGAGCCCAAGCATAGATCTCTACAGCATTCTTTAAGGCAATCACCAAGAACTTGATTCTTTCATATTTTACTAAAATGAAAATAAAACCGATTTTAAAAACATTCACCTCCTTTCCAACAAGACTAAACAACTCGTCTCCAGGAACAGCTTTTCAGGCTGTGTCTCTTTGGTTCTCATTTGGTAAAGTGTCCACCTAATACATACAGATCAATACCAAATTCATTTGTGGTTGTGGTCTACCCATACTTTTAAGATAAATTGTCAGGTCAGATCTAAGACTAGAGAATAAAAATTCATCACTCTGGACATTTTTTTTCTGGAGAGACTACTCACCGACTTTGTAGTGGATGCATCCCTCCAGGTCCCCAACTGTGATCCAGCCCTGCTTCTTCTCCACTTCAGGGTCGTTGTGTAGAATCCTGTTTCTCAGCCAGGAGAGATAGTACACGCGCAGCTTGTTCTTCTTTCCTGTTGGCAAAGGAAACGTCTCTGTCAGAGCAGTATGCGTGTGCACAGGAAGCCTTGAGATTTCAGTGCTTATTTTCACTCAAAAGATGATAAAATTAAAGTTGTTTCATGCTGAAGTTGAAAATAGTGATTTAGTTGTGTTTTTTTTTTTTCTCTTGGGGACAAAAAAAGGTATGTCAAGCAGAGCCCAGAGCTCCAGCTCCCCGACTGCAGGCGGATGCTGGAAGAGCTGGGCTCTTGCCTCCCACAGGCTGGAACTGTTCCTTTTCCTATCAATCAGTGCTCTCAGAGCGATGGCTGGGCATGGCGGGGCCCCCCCAGCCACTCAACTACCTCTTTTCCTCTTTCCTCCTTCATACAACATCAATTCCACCCTGGAGCTGAGACACGAGCTCCTCAGTCTGTGATGGGCACTGCTATCTGCCAACAAGCCCGATGCTGGGCTCTAACAACGCTGAGGGGTTGCCAAATTTATGCACACCTCTTGGATGGCTGTGAGCTGGCTATAAACCTCCTGGCTGCTGCAGAGCCCCTGCTCCAGGGACAGGACACAGCCTGCACCGAGGCTGGGGGGAGAGCACCCAAACCATAAACCAGGGGCTCTGCCTGCTCCTGGGTTTCCACAAGTCCCAAGGGCTCAAGCTCAGGGGCCGGTGCTCCCTGGGGAACGCTGCCCTCCCGTTCATCTTCCACCCCTTGTTCCTACAGCTGGATCCCCAAATCCATGGGGGAGCTGCAGAGGTAAATGATGAAGCAGCATTTTTTAAGAGCCCTGTCTGAATGGAGGGAGCAGGAATTTGCTGGTGATTGAAGAGGGAGCCCTGGGGGGTGTTGAACAACCTGAAAGTAAACCTGAAGAAAAGAAGGACAATATCGAGCAATTTTCCTAATGAGCATTTCTCTTGCTGTTGTCTGGGGGTTTCGCAGGGCTGTGCGGCAGGGATGGTGCTGGTTGCTCTCCTGGGAGATCAGACTTGAGAGTTGTTGCCATTTTTTTTTGCCAGAAGTCACCCCATGAGCCCGATTTGAGAGGTCCAGAGCTCCTGGCTGAACCCAGGGACAGCGACTGTCCCTGCCCATGGCAGCAGGGTTGAAACTAGATGATCTTTAAGGTCCCTTCCAACCCAAACCCTTCTGTGATTCTATGATAAGCCTATGGCCCTCCTGATGCTCAGGGCACCCTGAGCACAGCTGTGGTCTGAGCTGGAGCCCTGAAAGTTCATGGCTGCCTTGGCTAGAGCCAAACAGCCCCGAAAGCAGAGCTCGCTGCCCCCTCAAGCTGTGACTCCCAGCTGTGCTGGGGTACCTGTCTGTACCTGCACCTTCCCCTCCCTGCTGAAGGAGGACAGAGCATTGAAGATGACGCAGAGCCAGCAGATGATGGGAGCAAACTGCTCTTGGAGGCATTCTTGCAGATCTAACACCTTTGATTCTGGAAGAAACTGCCTCCAGCTCCCCTGGGAGCTTCTCTCTGACACTGGCAGGCGAGTTGTGTCCAAGTTGGAACTGCTCAGGGAATATGTCCAAAAAGGTGAGGGATGGGGTGAGACCATGAGAGGCATACCTGATATTGTCACAAGGACATTAAGGCCCTCGAGTACGTCCATCTGTTGGAATCGCCGTCTGTTGATGAGGTTGTAGACCTTCCCTTGCCCACTTCGATCCAGCAGCATCAGGCCATTTTCTGTGCCCACCAGCAGATTCACACCTGCAGAGGAGAGGCAGCCACGGCTGCCGACAAGGACAACACGTCCAGCTCCTCCCTGCCACCACTGAGAGAGTGACCGACCACAGCTAAGGCTGCAATCTTCCCATGGAGAGTCACTCCTACAGCGCAAGGACTTGGGGACATTAGCCTTTCCCAAGATGGAGATGGGGACAACCAGAGGCAGGAGCTTGGTTCTGCGATGACACACTCACGTTTCATCACCAGCCACGCGCTCCGGGGAGCTTTGCCGAGGGCACGGTGTGCTCAGGGCTTACCCCATAAAGCAGCACAGAGTATCTCTGAGTTGAAGCGCTTCTTGTATTTCCGGATCTCTGGGGTGTCGCTGTGAGGACGGATGTTGGTGGGGTTGACGTTCACCACCGAGATCTTCCGGGCTTCGTTCAGCTTGGCCTGCTCCTGTCTGAGCAGCTCGCTGGTGAACAGGGCTTGCAAGGAAACACAACAGAACAGCGAGGCGTGAGGGATTAATGGTATATACCTCTTCTGTAAGTTTTTTTTGGAATAGGAAGACAATACGTGGTATATTTTCTGATGTCATCACTATGTTATGAGCTAGTAGTTTGAAGAGGGATCATCAGGATTTTCTCGCAGGTTGGAACCACCACCTAAGCCCGTCAGCAGGTGATGTCCCCAGACCTCCAGCCCTGCCTACCAAGCTGAGCAGCGCTATTCACTGCCTGCCTGCCCACATCCAGCCACTTCCAATGACTTCACAGTAACTGCCAGCTTTTTGGAGTGATTACCACCTCCCAGTTCTGCCAGGAACATTTCTCCTAGCTGCCCAGGCAGATGGGTGGGTGGATTTCTGCTGTTCTGTGTCTTCTCCCAGACCTTTCTGGTGGCATTTTGCTCGTGGGGGAGAAGTTGGATGGAAACTGAAGAGCACAAGGATGCAGACATGAGCAATGTTTGGACAAGAGCAAGTGAGAAGTGGAAGAGGTTCAGTGGGGTTATTCAGGCCCCACGACTTGGTTTCCACAAGGCCCTCCCCTCTCAAACTGGCCCCATTGCCTCCTACCAGTAGCAGATGACTCTTCGTCCTCATCTTCATCTTCATCAGTAGGCGAGGTCTGATACACTCTGGTGTCCACAAAGGGTGTGAAAGAGGCTTTGGTGCTACTTCCCATACCATACTGGAAAATAAACAGCAAAGAGAGCTCAGAGCCCAGAAATAACAACAATTTGGTGTGTGTATACGTAAGACTTTATAGCTAGCAGACACAGTGCCTGCCCCTGCAGCGCCCTTCTCGAGCCCTCTATGAACATGTGCTCCTCCTTCCCCATAGCTAATCAGAAAAAGCATTAAATTGGGTTTATGAGTGTCTATGAGGAACAGCAAACAAGAGGAACCATGCCCAGCTCTGCTATCTTCTCGCAGGCAGAAGCACAGCACAGCCATGAGACCAGTTAGCGGAGAAACCACAGGGCCAGGGGCAAAAGTCAATGCAGGTGAAAAACAACTTGTCTGCACATAACACACCTGCCTTACAAAGCCCGCTCTGGGATGTCTAGCAAAACACCTGTTTTTATCCCCCCTAAAGTCTGGTCTTCAGCACACCCCATGGAGACAGCACGTACAGATCGCTTGCAGTTTCAATGGTGGGTTTTTTGTACAGCATTCAGGCAGGACTGCAGAAAGGGTCATTGCTAAGCTAACAAAACTTAACCTGAAGGTATGGCAGGGAATGTCAGAGCCGATACTTTGCAAAGGGAATCTGGGAATGAACAAACTGCAACATCACGTTGCTTTCTTTTTAAAGTCATTGCTTTGTTAAGCCAGAAAATGGGGCTAAGACCTTCTCCAGGGCAAAAAGAAATCCTTGACTTGGGAATCAAAGTGACGTGATTTTCCTCCCTTGTTGAGCAGCAGCTTATTTTCCTACTCCAGTATTTACCCATGATATGCTTTATGGATGAGCTCCATCAAGAGCTGTAACAGCAGCAAACCCCAAGTCACTCTGCAGCAGCACTGCAGCTCACATTTTCCTTCCTCAGGACATTTTCCTTCTCTGAAATAAATCAGCTATCACGTCACTGAGTCACCAGAGCCCAGGCTGCTCCCCATGCCCAATGCCAGCGCCACAGCCCCTGGATGGACAACTGCCATGGGGACAAGCCCGTGCCACGGGAACACCACCGCCCTGGCACATCCGTACCAAAACTGGGCTGGGCTCGTACCTGTCCTCCAGCAGGTGACGAAAAGGTTTAGGAGCAAAAAATTTCCAAGCATTTTGGGTCTGGCACCCAGCAAGCCAGCATCCATGCCCTGCGCCTGCCAAAACCACACAGCGCATCCCGCTTCCCTCCCGTCTCTATGTCCCTGACAGCCCTCCCCTTTCCATAGAAATGGGATGGATTTCCAAAAAGTACGTGGCAACCGAGACCCACGGAAGGAGTTAACAGCCTGACGTAGGGAAGGCTGCAGGAAGAGATATCACATTTACATACACAGTACACCATGATATTTGTGTGTGCGTGTAAGATAAACTCGCTACTTTGTGCTTCTTTCATATCCAAGAAAAACACGTGGTTTTTTTTCCTGCACTGTATGTCTTTTCCATAAAGCACCAACAATTCAAAGAGGGGAAAAATTCAGTATTTACACGGGTCCTTTCCCCTGAGAGCCAGGTGCTTTCTGCCAAATGCATTGCGAAGAAACCCCTCATCCCAAGGCACCAAGCATTTATTTTCCTTGCTCACAGTCACCTCTTCTCCTCCTGAGAAGCTGGCATCTTAATAACTTCCCAGTCCCTAACTTAAATATTAACACCTCATCTTCCTTCAGGTCCTGTTCCACTGCCTGTAAACCTCCGTGGTGGCCTTCAGAGACAGCATCAAGCTGCAGGGGGAGGTCGTCCTTGCTCCCTTCTTTTTCCTCACAGCATTGTGAGTCACTGGGAAGCCTGTGAATTGAATTCCCAGGTTTCCACCTACACCCACTCCCAGCTCAGTCAGCCCTAAAAATGCAGGTTTAGAAATGGAAAAGATCTTCTAGGTTGGTATTCTATAAATGAATACATTTAAACCCAATCCTTGCCCACGTTAAGCAGTCCCAGGATGACCGTGGAAGGTGTTACTTTCCGGATCAACTCTCTCATCACTGCTTTTAAAGGCAACAAGGAAACGGATAAAACCTTGAGGTCAAGTCATGCACCATCTGTTCTTACATTTTATCAATGCCCAGTTCCAAGCAATTTTAATTTTTATACTGCTAGTAACAGTACACTGTAAAATGAGTACATTATTTCTGTGAAAGAGAATACGATGACAGGACTTTTGATGTACAACCAACACCACATCTTGTACTTTCTAGGGCTTTCTACACCTTATACAATGTTAATGTTCAATCGCGTCCCTATAAAACAGCTACCAGGGAGAAATACCTTGCCATGACTGGAAATACACGATTTTAAAGGTGTGCAGATTTTTGCTAGTCTGAAGAACTATCCAGAATTTTGTTGACTTTCGTTTTCACTAACCTTCTGAGGCATGTTAAAAGTATCAGAGATGGCCCAGGAGAAAGCTGGGTCCAGTTGAAGTTAATCACAGAATCCTGGAATGGTTTAGGTTGGAAGGGACCTTAAAGATCATCAAGTTCCAACCCGCTGCCATGGGCAGGGACACCTCCCACTAGCCCAGGTTGCTCAAAGCCTCATCCAGCCTGGCCTTGAACCCCTCCAGGGATGGGGCATCCACAGCTTCTCTGGGGAACCTGGGCCACTACCTCACCACTCTCACAGTAAAGGATTTCTTTGTAGTATTTAATCTAAATCTACTCTCTTTCAGCTTAAAACCATTACACCACATTCTATCCCTACACCCCCTGATAAAGAGTCCCTCCCCATCTCTCTTGTAGCCCCTTTTCAGTACTGGAAGGATGGCATCACTGGCTCTCATATTTTTCTCCTATTTCCAAGTGTCGAAAACAAAACAACTTTCATATCAGTTGGTAGCATTCAAGCCATCACCACCAAAACTCCAGCTGGTGGGCTTGAGAGAAGACCTAATATACATTTCCACCATCAGCTACAGACCCATATGGCAATAACCCATCAGATTCCCTTGTATTTCCTCTACACTCACCCCCGTGGACCAGAAGCAAAGAGAGAAGAGGAAGAAAAGCCAGGGAGGAAATCAGGAAAGCCCCTTTATGGGGCAGAGATGTTAATATTTGTTCAAAGCGATGCAAAGGAGAAGGAGGAGCCCCCCCACCACCTACTTCAGGCACCGAGTCCATGTCCTGCGCATGCGTGGAGACTCGCCCCAGGGCCTCGGTCGGTGTGCCTGCAGGCGAGTGGCTTTGCTGCACCAGGTCAGGGAGATTGATGTGACCTGCAAAGCCATTGCTGGCTGCATGGCCAGAACGCTTTTTTTCACCAGAGGTCTGCAGAGACACAAGGCATGAGGAAGAAAAAGAAGGGGGTGGGGTAGAGGGAAGAGAAAAAGAAGAGAAAAAAAACCCAAACAAAACCAAGTCGTTGGCCGTCCCCCAGTTCCCAGAGCAAGCGCAGGAGAAGGACCCTCTCTGTTTCCATCCCCATGCAATCTGGCAAGCAGCAAACCAACCCCCCGCCCCAGGAGAAATTAAAGACAGGATTAATCACAAAATCAACACAGAGTCATTAGCCACATTGCAGCGAGAGAAGCTTGATCACCGTTGTTTTGAGACAAGGAACATGGGGCAGATACTGCTCTTGCCACCATGGGTGCAAACCCCATGGCCAGCTCTCCTGCCAGGTGGCCAGCGGCCACGGTGACAGCAGAATCTGACCCCTCCATCAGCGTTAGCCTGAACGGCTTTGCACAGCTATGGCAGTGAGTAGCCTGACTGCAAATGCCAACACAGCCCCCGAGGCATGTTTCTGTAACCCAAAACAGCAGTGAACAGCAGCAGCACCAGCTGAACGACCGGCATCTCGCTCTGTGCATGAGGTTCCCAGGGTTTCCCCCTCCTCTCCATCCCCACATCATGCAAGGCACGTGCTGGGAAGTTTCTCCCTTCCCTGGCTATCATTTTGAGGTGTTTGCCATTTTGATGAATCCCATGTACCTGGAGCACATCAACAAGATTGCTACAGAGACTTGTCCCTTTACTGGGATGAGTGGAAAACTCCCTCTGAACAGGCTCATTGAGTTTCCGACCAGTCCTGACAATTATCTTTTGATCACTCATTACCATCACATTCAACCACCTCACCATCCTGACAAAGAGTGAAAAGCTGACCTCAGGGAGCCTGTCCTCTGATGGCTACTGCAATGGTAGGGAGCAAACAGCAAGTACCCAGCTGCAGTTTGGGTTTCTTATCATGCTCCCTCCTCCCAAAGGGGTTTCCCAGCTGCTTGTCTTGCCTGTGGCTTTTAAAACCCTCTGCATCACTGGTTTTCTCATATAGCCTTCTGGCATGGCCTGTGTTTTACAGTCGTGAGGCTTAACACCAAGCTCACTTCAGAAACGGCTGCCTGTCATAGCAGTGACTTGTTCTCCTGCTCAACCCCACCACCCTCCCTGCTACACGGATGCACAGGGGGCTGCCCAGGCTGTGGGGATCCCTGCTCCGAACCGCTCCATGCCAGGAAGAGATGAGGTGGGCTGTGCATTGCTGCCCACCTCCAAAACTTGTGGAGAAAGGCAGCAAACATGCTGTGACTTCTTTTGCTAACTCCTTCCTCTCTTTCAAAGTTGCATTCATTTTTTTCCCTTCCTATGTCAATATTTCATATAAAAGGAATTAAGAATTACAATGCTGCTCAAGTCTAGTTTGCATTTGATCTAAACATTTTACTAACTCCAGAGCCTCCTGCCCCCTCACCAGGATACCTGCTACCCATCTGCATTTCCAGCAGCATCACCAGCACGTTCCAGCAACTGGGAAACTGATAAACACTGGGGGAGATCTTCCACAGCCTCCCTCTGCAGTACCACCCATCAGGATTGCTCCCACCACAGCCTCACCTCCGCAACGCCAGAGCCGGCAGCTCGCACCTGGGCGGGATGCCCAGTGCCCCCACCCAGTGCCCCTGCAGCCGGCTCACTGGATGAGCTGGTTGTGTGGGGATGGGGGCTTGGACCTCCCCGAGCAGGACCAGCCCCTGTAAAAGTCTCCAAATGCTCTACAAACACTGCACGCCTCTGACAGTTAAACGGTGGACAAAGGTTGGGAAGAAGAGAGGAAACTTTGGGCCAGGTTCCAGGTGTATTAACTAAATCCTGGAAATTGAAGATAACTTCTGTTGCCTGCAGCTATTGTGGGATTACAGCAGCGTCCTTTTGCATGAGCATCCTCCCCGCCGTGCCCTGGTGTTACTCTTCACTGCTGTTTGTAGTTCTGAGAAACATTTGCACTTGTCACATTTGCTCCGAGTGTAAATTGTATTATGAGAGCGCTAACAAGCACAATTTACTCAGTCATTTTGTGTTCCGGACACACAGCACTGTTAGTTTTTGTGCTTACATGGGCAAAACCTCCTGAAGATGCTCCAGGGAAATATTTGTTTTACAACTTACCTCCCTCACCATTAAAGTCCCTTCCCTTGAAATATTGCTAAACGTATCTGCATGGGAAGTCTCTAGCCCGTGGGTCGTCACCATTCCCAGGTTGTACGGCTCATTGCTTCCAGGAATTCCTGTTGGTCTGAGGACAGAATGGAAAAGCATTAATGATGGAGACTTCCTTAGCTAAACTAGACAAAAAATCCTCTAATCAGTACCATTTAAATAAGGGTAAGGCTTTGTATCTCACGAGAAGAAAAATTAGAAAATGCATCTACTCAAATGTATGGGGAAATTATTTATGTTGTCAGAAATAAAGGAGCACGGTCAGGTTGACACACCAACAAAGAGAAGGCTCGTCCCAAGGTGCCCC